TATTTTTAATATTGAAAAAAATATTTTAATATAAGAATTTTAATTAAATAATAGAAGAAAAAAAAGATAAAAAGAATAAATTAAAATAAAATAAAAGGAAAAAAAGAAAAAAAGATTTTATATCATTATATAAATACATTATAAAGGTTATATTCTATCATTAAATTACAAATTAAATTATAAATCCATATAAAGAGACATGTTCACAAATTTGACATCAAAATTTTGAAAACTCACTTTACACACACTTTTACCTTCGAGCGCATCCTTACATCTAACATATAAATATATCAAAATATATAAATATTTTTGTATTTATATATTTTATATTTATATATTTACATGAATATACATTTATTTGTATATAAATATAATTTATTTGTAAATTATTATTAGAAAATCTTAGTAATTTAGGATATTAATAAATAAATTTTCTTAATCGAATAATAATTGAAATTTCTAAAAAAATAATATAATACCTACTTATCGATAGATATATCCGATCGATAATATTTACTGATAATACAAATTTTAACGAATTTTATCCGTCAAAATTTTTAATTTTTCATAGTGGTTTTTATCAAATGAATCAAAATAAAATCAATTTAACACATAACAATAAATCTAGAATAAAAAAATAAGTCCATAAAATTATTATAAATAAATAATAATACTAAAATATGTAATACTGTTTATTTATCTATTATGTATAATATCATATCACATCAATTCTAATATTATCATATCCCATTTGATGTTGTGAAAAGTTATGGTATGATAATAAAGTAAAAAAGAGAAGAGTAAAAAATGATATTTTAAAGTGAATTATAGTATAGAAGGTAAAAGAAGGAAAGTGAGAGAGTGGGGTACGTAATGTAAAATTAATGGTTGGAGCGGAATGAGTGAAGATGAGATTTAGCATGAATGGATGAAAAACAAGATTTTATTAGGGAAGGAAAATAGGGAACCCCACTTTTTGATTACCCAGAAAAGTAGGCAATGAACAAAAGGTGTGGCCTACGGGGCATATTCATCACAACAACATAAATGATCCAACACTCCTCCACCACAACCCTACATACTCATTTATTTCCCCCCCTCTCTTTTTACTTTTCACCTAGCCTCACATCACTCACATGCTTTCTCTCAATGCACTGCAATTTTCTCTCCTATTCTACACCCTTTCTAAAACAACACTCCCTCTACCTTCGTCTAACCCCCCTAACCCTAAACATAAACATATGGGGAGAGATTAACCCCTCTCCAAATAAATCTTTCGAAGGATACAAATTCTGTCAATAATGTCACTTCACTTGTCATCGACTGTTTGTCGTGTTTAGGATGCTATGTTTCTCCTCAAATACCCTAATTCTTCATCATCTTCTTCCCAAACTCTGCTTTCATTGCATATACACTCAGATGGAATTAATGGAACTATGCAGGCAGTTGCATCCTTTAAAGCTTTATAATAATTGCTTAAATATTGATTTTTTATAAAAAAAACATTTTTTTCATTTTAATATAGATAAATAAGTGAGTAATTATAAAAGTACTTAATTATAAATTAACAAAGATATATAGGATATTATAATAGAAATAAGATAAAAAATAATAATAAAACTTGTTGTAAACGTTTAATTCTTGAATTATTTATTTTATTAGATTTTGTTTAATAAAAAATATTTTATTTTATCTTAAAAAACTTATTCTCAAAAATAGATTTCATTGTTTTTTGTATTTTAAGTTCGAGTTATGACCAATTAATTTTTACATTTTCTTATTAATTTAATTGTAGTCAAATAAATTTATTTTACTTTAAAATTAATGATAATACGCCAAAACTACTTATTCACAGTTTATATATATATATATATATATTGGAATTTATGAGATTTTTCAATCAACGACTAAATATTTGTCACGAAAATTTATTAAATATGAGATAACATAATAAAAGATGCAATTTGAGAATAAGTTCTTAATTGTAAAGAATGGGAAACTATTTTTGATTAATGTCACTGGTTCTCAAACACTAAAAAAAATAACTCAAATTTACCCAAACACTAAAATTATAACTCAATTGTACCGAGTAATTGGTTTTATTCTTACACCTAATGTTTCTACCAAATTTATTATAGAACAATATTTGTTAAGACTGTATTTGATAATAAGATGAAATATCATTTTTGAGTAATTATCCTATTGGACATACTAAAAATATAAGGAATAAAATTTTTGATATAGATTTAATCATATAATTTTTGTAACATATGACAAAAAAATTAAAAATATTTTTAACAATCTATTTTAAAAAACTATCCTTTAGAAAAAATTAAAATAATTTTTTATTTAAAAAAAAAGAATACTAAGTAACAATATTGTCACGATAAAACAACCTAAAAAAAATATTTTATTAGATTTTAAAAAAATTTAAAAACAAAAATGATTTTCATTTGATAATTAATTAAAAGTAAAAGTATTTTTTAGGAGAGTAAACAAAAATCCTAGCTGAATCCTGGAAATAGTAGTTCCACTAGAGCAGGGAAAATTATTGTTTTCACGTTAGAATTCACTGCGCATAGTGATAATAAATATAATTTATTTAGTTTGGAAAATAGAAAATTATTAGAAATATTAAATGATGCACCTCATCTCTAGTTGTACACTGCCAATCACAACATGCCGCATTTAGTCTTAAAGCTGCTGCATTTAATACACTCTTAAAGTCAAGCTGGCCTATCCACAATTTAGCATCAAATTATTGATCTTATTATTACCCAATATAATTATATTATATTACAACATCTTCATTTTCTTTTTTCTTTAATTATAGAGTAAAACAAACAGTATATGTCCATGTGATACAGTATTTTTCATAACAAAAATTGTAATTAAAAGAGATCCATTAAAAATAATCACCCAAAATAATATAATATAAAAAAAAACTTGTGAGATTTATAAATAAATTCATGATTTAACTAAAATATTAACTAAGTGTTCATTTTTCAATTAATTATTTTTCTCCTAAAATTATTTTCTCATTTGGACTCTTCTTCATTTACACTATAAAATTATTTATTTTTGATATGAATACAATTTTTAAAAGTGATTATTTGTGGTTTACTAATTAGACATCCACTCCATAATTCTTCTTCTACTTAATAAAAACACTAAGATGTTTTAGCAAGATACATTTTTTTTTTTGTAAAATTTATTGAAAATTATAAAATTAGGAGAAACAGTGGTGAAATAAAAGGTGGAGTCCAGCAAAATTTGTTATGTTCTATAAATTTGAACCAATAAAAAAAAGTGTATTGTGAATGTTTCTCTTTTAAGAAATAGGAGGAATTTAACAAGAAGGGTGCATTGGTCGAAGTAGGGTAGAAAGTTGATGGTTAGATGCAGGCTAGGAGCAGAGGATTGGAGCCCCATTTGTTGCATCTTGTGAAAGTTATAAGCATATATGGGAAGCATGATATTAGCAATGGTAGACAGCTTCTCACACCGAAAGGTAAAAAGAAATCACATGCTTCCCATACCATTTTTTTTCCAAAAGAAAAGGAGTTTGAAGCACCCATTTCCCTTATTTGCTAGCAAGACTTTCGTGACAGCATCATGTTTCACTCAGATATGGCTATTGTTCCTCTTTTGTAGAGCTCATTGCATGCTTAATTAGCACAATGCAATCCATGGCCCCATCCCACATAACAAAAATTAATTATGATTAATGCTGCTTCTCTCCATCTTCCTCATATTGTTGGTTATGAAAGTTAACCAAGAAGAGGAGAGAAGTGAAATAAAGTTGTACCTATATTTAACATTAGAGTTAAAGGAGTGTGAGATCTAAGGTTTGCTTATTTCAACATCCAACACTTTGTGTATCAACTTAGGTGCTTTCACCACTTTCTATCTTACACTTTTACAACCTGTGTAAAACTGAGTTTTTAATGCACAGAAGAAAATCTATCCAAACAAGTGAAGTAGAATTTAAGTTTCTTTTTTTATTTATTTATTTTTCTTTGGTACCATAAAATCCATTAATGGAAAATAGGTGTTGCTCAAATGACACTGACCCCATCTTTCTTAGTTTGCCGCAGTTACCAAAATATCCCTTCTATGGCATGAAATTTAGATGCCTTTTAATTAATTTCTCTAGATCATTAATGCAGAAAATAATTAAAAGGGTAGGTTGTAGTGATGCTTTGTTTCCATGTATGTGATTGATTTAGTAATAATTAATAGTGTTCAACTATGGTTTAGCATAACAATACATAGAGTAGGGTGATGATGGTTTTCTGGCCACAACATCAAAGATTTTTATGTGTCCATTAACTTGTACACTTGGACACTCTAGTCACATCAAATTTTTTTCTACGTCAATTATTGACAATTGAGCTGATATATATATATATATATATATATATATATATATATATATATATATATATATATATATTTATGCTAATTACCACTAAGATTGTTAATCCCTCTCCACAGTAAATTAATTGTTCAGCATTTTTTTTCAACTTATAAGTTTTCCTCTTTTAGCTGATATCTGTGTATAATTTGCTGAAGAATCAGAAATCATTAGTGGAAAAGAGACCACATAAAATAAGCTGAAATTTAATCAAAATGCACCTTCATGCAAATATTTTACCACCAGAGCTAATAAATTTTTGTCAAACATTTGAATATAACTGCTATTGAATTATTATTATTATTGGACTGAAGTTAACATTAATTTGAAGTTTTCTACAAGAGAAAGAGAAAGAGCAACATGCAGTAAGCATAGTATTACTTGAAATAATTAAACCATTCATAAACTTTCCAAGTTACAAGTTGAAGGAGATCCCAGCTGCTTCTGAGAACCTCAACCCATGTAATGGATTAAACCCTAGTCAGATCTCAAAAGAGTTTCCTTTCTCTTCTTTCTTCTGACTAATCATGTGATTTTGAATGTCACATCCCAGACTTATCGGGATTGGTGATTTCCATATCAATCAGAACATTGGAGATAATTCCATCATCTCCTCCACTTGACCAACGCTTTCATCCAAGAGCCACTTCTCAAGAAATGACAATGGAGGAGCACTGTTGTTCTCAGATTTTTGCCTAATCCGCTCTTCATGGGAAGATTCGGCAGCAGCTTCAAAACTCTTCTCAGGCACGGAATCACATGTGGACCTGTCCCAAGCAGCATTGTTTAGGTTCTCAAAGGACAAAATAGAATCAAACTCTTCATGAGAAACTATGTCTACACCACCCTCTTGATCATCTTTGTTTCTTTTGTGGTGATGATGAATGTTCAAAGCAGGCAGTGATGCACACTTCACTAGCTTATTAGTGCTTTCAAAGTTGTTGTTGTTATTATCATCATCAATGCTTTGGAGCTCTTCATCTTGGGATCTCTTGAGTGGCTTTGGGGAAGATCTCATCCAACCTTCCAAGAGCCTTGAGATGTTCTCAGTGCTTGAGGCATATGTGGAGGATTGAGACTGACTAAGCCTAATGGACGAGGCATGGTCATTGTTGCTGCTGATGTCTAAACTTCTTCTGTCATTAAAGCTCTTTGGTAGATACTGACCACTGGTTGTTGAGTCTGATGCCGAGTGGGGATCTAAGGCAGCTTGAAATTTCTTCAGCTTCTTCTTTAGATGGGTGTTCCAATAATTCTTGATATCATTATCTGTTCTTTGTGGAAGATACGAAGCTATGGCTGCCCATCTGCTCAACAATTAACAACTTCACAAATTCAGGCATATCATATATGCATATGCTAAAATCACAAATAGATAAATAAAAAAATTAAAAAAAATCTGAATTTTGATGTTCTTCATGATATATTGATCCTCCTTTTTTGTTGAGAAGAGAAAATTATGATATTTGACAGAGAATTACTTGTTACCCAGTAGAGCTTGCAGATGAATTATCATTCCTTCCTCATGGGGAGTGAAGTTTCCTCTCTTGATTCCTGGCCTGAGGTAATTTGTCCATCTAAGCCTGCAACTTTTGCTGCACCTTGACAACCCTTCTCAAGAAAGATTTGAACTATATATGATCAGTTTAATTCAAATTGTTACAATTGATAGATTCCCAAGCAAAAAAATATGTATACATATATTATATATAGATAGATCAAGAAGAAGCCACTTTGATTAATACATATATATACCTCAGCTTACTAAACAAAATAAAAGGATTGAATATATAGTACTAGGAGATATATGCATATATAATTGAAGTTAGCTAAATTAATTACCTGTATTAGTAGGAACTGATCTCCAATTTCCTGGACCATGTTCTTGGATGTATGAGACAAGGATGATATCCTCCTCAGGTGTCCATGGACCTTTCTTGATGCCAACTTTGTCACAACAAGGAGGCCTCCCCATGGGTTCCTTCCACTCACTCCACCTTCTCTCTCTCTCTTTCTTCTTTCTTTCCCCTCAAAACTCACCACTGACTGATCTCCTTTTCTAGCTAGGCTAAACTTCCCAAGAGAGCTCGCAAATAGTACCAATGCATGTGAGTGCTTTATATACTCGATGACTTTGATGAAAGGAAAACTTAATAGTTTTACCATCCTTCATCTACCTAGCTAAGTCACCTAACTCTTTTACTACCTTTATAATTATGCAGTCAATGTGGGAACCAAAGTCAGCGAGCGACGAGTTTCACCATTTTCTCTCTTTTCCTCTTTTTTCTTGGTCACGTGGCACCTTCTCACCAAAAGTTAATCTTATTTAATATTTATTACCCTTCTCTTTTATTTCCCTTCTAGTGTTTGCTTCGGACCCTTGATGTCGTTAGCACACTAATTAACACCATGTTGCATTTTTCACATATAAGTTTTGTCGACATCTAATAAATTGAGGTTCCAAGAGAAGTCTACATTTTTCTTCTAATCCATTCTTTTGATTTATTAAAATTCAAGTCCCTAACCAAACATAAAATTCAAAGCAAACTTAATTGTGGCATTGATTATTTTCCAACGAATAGTTTGATTTTTATTTTTATATTATTTCTGTTTTTCATTACGCTCTGCAAAATTGAATGTGTGGCACTGCCAAAATTTAGCGGACAGCTTACAATAAATGAAATTTTCACAGAGAGGAGCAGAAAATGCCGTAAGGATCGCCAGAGGGGTTAGAGATTTTGGTAAGGTTGTTGCTGGCTTTTGGGGAATGTTTAGAGAATCTGGAACAAATGAATAATGATTTGTGGTTACTTGTCTGTTTGTTATTCTGCAGGATAAATATTTAATTTGTACTTGTTAGCTTGTAAAGATGTTCATTTCAACCCTGAATCGATTATCATATATATATATATATATATATATATATATATATATATATATATATATATATATATATATACGATATTGATATATACAATATGAAGCTCGTGCGAAATGGAACTATGTTCTATATGATTCCATAAGGAGTAATGCTTTTACTTTTCAGCGGTGTCAAATTTCAGCCTCTTCTGTTATCTTTTTGGTCTTTTTGGACTGATGGGACTTCTTAGAGCAAAAGAATACAAAATAATCAAAGGTAGATTGAAAAGTAGTTATCAGTATTAGTAAAAAGGGTTCAAATTTCTTTGAATAATTAACAATGGCTGCTTCATGATTATTTCATGAGAACTCACTTTCTTTTTCGTCTTCTAATATGAGAATGAGAGAGAAAGAGAGTGTGTGTTTGCTTCTTTATGAGGAGCAGCGAGGAGTTCCTCTTAACCATGTGTCCAAGCTGTGCCATGTACTGAAATAGTGTGTTAGTACTTAGCTTCTGTCACTTTCCATTGATCTTAATTACTCCTTCTTCTGTGAAAGGATAACTATCTCCTATGCAACCACTCAAAGGGTGAGTTTCATGAACATTCTGCTAAAACAACACTTCAAACATAAATTGTATTGTACAATCTATTGTCTATATAGTACAACAAAGGGAGAGATTGAGACTAAAAAGAAAAATATAATGTAGGATCAAGACAAATGATGTGAAGCAAAAATAAATGGTTTAGTCACAGCTTTTTTTCTACTATTTGGTGGAGAATGCTATTTTTTTTTAGTATATAAGAGTTCATAAGTGATTAAATATATATGAGTTTTATCCTTTCTTTGGATGGGTTTGAATTTGTTTTAGGTAATTTTCTTTACAACCCCTCTTTAAAATTTTTTTTCCTGATAATAATTATAAACTAATTCTGCAATTATGAAATGCATATGTAGCATTACTTGCTGATACATGAATTGTTTTTTAACTAGCTAGTCTAATAATTTTTTATTGTGAATTCTAGATATAAGAAAAACACATGCAAAATTACTTAAGTTTAAACATATGCAATAATCCTCTAATAGACATCTATTCACAACCCTAATTAACAGGATGGACGTACATTAAGAAAAGTGAGGACATTTGCACCCATTAAAGTTTTCATTTTCCGAAGTGTAATAATGTATAAATGTATCTCTTTGGTTAGTTATTGGATCCAATTTTAAGTTTTCCATATATTAACTATAAATTATATAAGGGTTTTCAACTTTCACTTCTTTAATACATTATGGTTGAAGAAAAGGGTGAAAAATGGGAAAGAAAAGATAAGGAAGAATGAAGCAAAAATGAAGGAGAAAAAGGGAAAGGCATGAGAGGTTTAGATAAATTTGAAAATTAGGTGGGTTTGAGAGTGAAATAGAAAGGGAAGTAGAAGAAGTGGTAGTAGCAGAAGTAGTAGATACTAATTTATTGGATAACAAAAAGTCATATGGATCATTAATTTTGAAATGGAAACACTAAGCAAGTATTTTCGAATGGTTGAAACCTTGAATATATGAAGAAATGGTGCATAAAATAAAAAGGGGTGGTCGGTGATTGGAGTAAAAAGCATTAAAGAGGAGGCTTGAAGGGTTGCATCCTCTTCCAAGGATGGGTTTGAATGTGTTGATCAAAGTCATCAAACACATACCCCACAAACAATTGACCTTGGTGCAAATATCTTCTTCACATGCTTCCTCACTTGTACGTAACTATTCTTCCCATTCTCCTACACGTATTTCACTTTCTATCTAATTGCCTCTATACTTTCATGTACTTTCAACTCTCTTCATTCTTACATTTTTCCATTCCCCATTAAAAAAATAAAACTGCTCTTGCAAGTGGCTTCGGGTGTCATCAATTCTGGTATGCAAATTAATAAATGATGTTTTTCCTTGTCCATCACCGTTTGTTTGCGATATCAAATTTGTGATTTGTTATCAGTTTTGGGGGGTCTTTTCTTCATTATCATATCATACCTCATCGTTAGCCAACCAAAATGTACATAACATGTCTTCTGTGATGGTTTGTTTAGTATTTCCCAAATTCCTTCCCAACACATTTCCTACGCTGTCACCCCATAACATTTCCATACTCTCCATAAACAAACCAAATTAATATTATTTTATATTCATTTTATCTTCGCTGTCAAAATTCGATTACTTCAACTGCTTTAATTTTAAAATGTTACTGTTAAATAATTAAATAAGAATAAAATTAAAAAAATACAAAATTAATAAAAAAATTAAAAACATATAATATATTTTAATTTTGTTTATCTCATATAACCTTTAATAATATTTATTTAATTATATTTTTATTTTATTTTAATTATTATTCATCTTATACTAGTAACTTTTATTATTATTTTTAAATATATTATTATTAATACATTTTTTTACATTTATTATATTATAAAAATATTATTTTATTAAATACCATTGTATGATAATTTAACTTTTAAATTCTAAAAAAATATATAATTATTTATATGCATGCGCAATTACATTACATTTTTTATTGTTACCAAATTTATTACTTTTAATGTGTTAAAAAACTAGTTTAAATTCTAAATATGATACTGAGGAAAAAATTATAAATCTATCCATTTTACTCTATTCTCTTAGATATTTACAGTTGAAAGTGATGAAAATTATTTTCAGTTTAATTCCTACCACTTTACTCTTATTGTCACTTTATTAATGTTTTTGTCATAAATATCTTCACCACTATTATTATTCTATAACTTTGATCTTTTCATCACTATTCCCATTGTCGCATTTTCATCAAATATCACTAATAGTAAAACAAATAAAAGATAAAAAATATACAAATATAATTTTTTATTTAATATATTTAATAATTTATTTTAATATTTATGAAAAAAAAACTAAAATTATAAATATATAAATAATAATAATAAATATGATCCAGAGAACTAAGAACCTTACACTCTTCCAGATTACCCTTTTCATTATAACTTTGTTATTATTATCATCATTATTAATATTATTTTTAACATTCCAACCATATAACTTTAATTATCATTATTATTATTATTCTTTTATTGTTATCATCATAAATAATATCATTATAATCATCATTACTAATATAATTGTTATATAAAAATAATATATATAATCTCTAATAAAAAAATAGGTAAACATGTGGATTAAAATAAAATAAATTATGAAAAAAAAATGCTTGAACTTTAGTAGAGTTTAACTTTATTTTTGTCTGTGTAAAAAGTTTAACATATTTTGATTTATCCTCCCTCTAATTTTAAACCTACCAAAGATTGGTATTTTAATTACACTGAAACACTTCTCTCTCTTGTTATCAAAAGTAGAGTGATTAGAAGAACAGTGAGCTTTCTGACACAATACAAAAGGTTAGAGGATTTGTTCTTGAATTATTATTGTCTCCTTCCATGGTTCTAGAATACAAGAGGTTAAATATTTCTTTACTTAGTCAAAAATAATAATAAATGTACACTTCTTTTGCATCTCTTTTCTCTTTTGCTTTCTTTTTCTATCCCTCCTTCTTGCACATCGTACATCCTATTGGTTTATCTTTATCACCACATAATAATGTTAAGAATATAATAGTGGATATTAATTGATTGTGAAAGCAAATTTTGCTCGTAATGATAAGTCACAACGTTTCTCCAAACTGGTCATACACGCAAACCCTTCTTGTGGACCGATTAGGTAAATACTAGCATGGTACCACACCCTATTAATCATAATAATAATGCATGTTGCAATTTTAGAAAGAAGAAATAAAACACACAAAATCATCCTCTTATTTGTACTTTATGTATACGACTTTTGATTAGGTCTACAAGTCAAAACAATGAAACTATTCATTTCTTTTCTAGTAGTTATTATACTTTTCTTGCTAATTTCTTCACTAGAGACGTTCAAAGTACTCTTGTCTTTTTATATATCAATATCGATATAGAATATGCTTTTTGATTAATCATTAATCTTTATTAAGAACTGAATTAATATCTTTATACTGAATTTTTCTTATAATACTTTAATGCGAAATATTATTTAAGAAAACCTAGTTTATCAACTTGGTAATATAGGTTATATAAAAGTCTTCTATGTTTGAAAAAAATTAAAACACATGAATACAATATTCGGATATTTTGCTTACTCTTTTAAGTATACGTTATTTTCTCTCAAGAAAATTTACAAGAATATTTGTCTCAAATATGATGTATATTTTATTGACGATGTCATTAAATAAATGAAAGTTACTGTAAATAATCATAAACACACGTTTAGCCTACATATATTTTGAAACAAGAGAGAAAAATATCATATATTTATATATTAACTAGTGAATAAAGTTGAGTATATACATGCATATTTAACCATTAGTCATCAAAGCACTTTATTACATATTATACATTTCACATCGATTAAAACAATATTTTACATTGATTATTCAACCGACGTAAAAAGTTTTTTTCTTTTTACATCGGTTATAGTATCATTAATGGGATATCTTTTTTTTTTTTTCATTCAATTGGAACCTATCCTCTCCTTTACGATGCCACCAAAATCAAAATTAATATTTTCAATCCACCTTATACATAACAAATCAAATGTGAAATATAATGTGTAAATTCGTGGCTTGGAGATTTATTGAAGTCAAACAAGTTATATGATATACAAGATTCTGTGTATTATAATTATGTGTGTGCTTGTATGTCAATTGTTTTATACTAAGCTTGATCGTATTATTGATTTGCTGAAAGCTTCCTAGAAAAATTATTTTTTTTTTTAAATGAAGATGTTTTAGTCCATTAAAAATTATGCTAATATATTAAAATGTTTTTTATTCACAAATTTAATAGATTAAAAAGATGTTTTAATTTATTAAAATCACTTAAAACCATAAATGTGAAAGAGATATTGTGTTAATATGTGTAAATAAGAGGTTTTAATAGATTAAAATGTTCTTTCAAAAATGTGTTTTTTAGACCTCATTGTTTTAATCTTTTAAAAAGTTTTTTAATAGATTCAAAGTTTTCAAGCAATTTTGGTTAAAATTACTTAAAGATGGGCAATATACTCAAATGGATTTAAAGGTGTTTATATTTTAAATGATTTTCAATATGTTAAAATTACTTAATGTTTTTCAAATTTCTTGTTGACCAGTTTTAATATATTAAAAAGTTTATTTATATATACCCAATTTTGGTTTAACTTCACTTCATAATTGCCACTATTTCTTTTTCAGTTGACGTATTTCTTTTTTAGTTGATGTCAAAAGATTTCTTTTTTTAAGCTAAAGTTAATCAACACTATATTTTTATCTATATAGGTAAATGTTATTGTTTTTTTAATGTTAGTTACAATACAATTTTATTTTAACATAATACTATTTTTTAATTTATATCAAACATGACTTTTTTTTATTAATATTAGTTAAATACATTTTTTAGCATCAATACTGTTTTTCAACTTATATCAAACATGTTTTTTTTTATTGATGCCAACTCAACTTTTTTTTATAAGAATTTTTTTCCAATCGACATTACTAGTTATTTGATATTTTTGTGTTTGATGATAAAAATAATTTAGATTAAATATATTTTAAATTTTTTTTAAATAATATCATTTTCAATCAAAATATAAAACAGTTTTTTTTAAACCAATGTCCAAATAAATCGCAGCTTTCACTATTGATGTGAAAGTATTACGCAATTATCCTTTTTTTGTTTACTTCCGCTAATTCGAAGTGATTTAGAGGAAAACATAAGTGAATTCCTTTCTTCTTTCTCCACTAATTTAATAAAAAAAAATTATGAAAAGTCACGGTGACAAGTTCATGTTCTCTAAATTGTACTTTTTTTTTTTTCAAATTGCATCATCACACACTATAACTTTTTTATTTATTTATCTTTCTATTCATCTATTTTAAATTTATTTTAATATTATTTTTAATTTTATAAAATAATTACTTCATATTTAACTTTTTATTTTAATTTATATTATTTTTTTTATTAAATTTTAAATATAAATATTTTAGTAATTCATTTTATTAATTATTTAATTCAACTTTTTTATTTTATCAAATCTACTTTTTTTATTCATTTTTCTTCATCTTTTACTCACTTCTCTTTAATCTAAATAATTTCACATTTCATCTTATATTTCTTCTTCTTTTTTTAAATCCACTCTTTCCATCCAAACAAAGATAAATAAAAATAAAAAGATAATTTTATTCTGTATTTCGCGTTATCATAATTTTTTTTATTATTATGGTTATTTATTTGAAAGATAACACTAATTATTTATCAGTAAAACTAAATAAATTTTCTTTTAACCTAAATTATCCTTCCCATCACGTGTTACAATTATTCAAATGTAAAAAAATAATTACGAATTTTTTTATCTCGAATATATTAGTGTGTTTTTATCTAAAACGTTGTACAGATTTCCCATAAATAAATGAACTTGTAATAATCTAATGTTAACATTTCTTAACAATTATAAAATAAATTAATACCATTCATGAGAAAAATAAATTTATTTTTTCCATAAAATAATATCATCAATTTTGATTATATTTAACACCGATTGTATATAACAAACAGTCAAAAGAATAATAAGAAATTTATACATGTTACGAGGTGTCACCAAATAAAATAATATAAATTTAACCTTTATATATGAAATATTGAATTTAAGTGGAGGATTTAATAAAAACAATGTAAATCAAATTATTATTTTGGAGTGTCTCAATTATTTTATGATTCAAGTTAGTGGACTTAAGTAACACTTCAAATATGACACTTGATTTATTGTTTTAAATAGAAAAACTTATACTTTAATTATTAATTTTAAATTTTAATTTAGTGGAGTGGTGATGAATATATTAAATAGATTATTTTGATATTGTAATAATGAATTCGAATATAGTTCAATATTAAAATATAATAATGTAACAATTTTAATATTTTCTTCTAAGAAATTAGGACAGCAAGGTTCACAAAATGTTTACATGTGTATACTGAAAAACTAGAAGAAAATAACAAAAACATCAACAAATTCAACTAACTAAAGAATTATGATACAACACATGTAGCTTTATAAAATTCTGTTCTTTTAATTTTCCTAAACTACATCTAATATACTCCATCCTTTGATTCACCTTTCCTCAAACTACAACGTTTCCACAGAGTCCACAAGCAACAAATCAGTGAACAAGTGCCCATCTGAACCCAAATTGCATATAATGATTTAACTTTCAAGACCCTTTTTCCTCAGGGCTTCATTACGTATTGCTATTACATTGTAGAGGATTTGTGCAATCAATCTTTTCATGGCCAGAACAATTTCCCAGGTTCAATGGAAGAAGGATCAGCAAATTTCATCCACTCATCACCCAATGCAACGTTTTCCTGCCAAACATATAAGTAGAAATGACAGATATACAATGCAAGTTTTTCAATGTTCCAAAGTAGAAAGCACAAGAAAAAGAAACCAAATTTTTGTTAACTAGTTGCATAATAATCTATAATTGTCAATGAATAAAGATTAACCAAAGCTTTTTCTCACCATTTGTGCTGTTACATGTATCAAACAATGCTTGTGTTTTTACCAAAAACCAATACTTTAGATACGCGCCAACATGGAAAGAGCAGAAAGTATAAATTGTGTTACACCAGCATCAAATTAGATAATATAAACCATTTCCGTTGGCTGATCTGTATCTCGAAATAATAATGGCATAGACAGTGTATAAAGTTCCGGTGAAACCTAAGCCTCAGTCAGAGTCACAATCAGTGGAGGACCTACGTTGAACTGAGGGGGTGCATTCACTTCGAGAAGGTCATTAAGTGTATACTGAAGATTTATATTTTGCCCCCTATTTCTCAATCTGATGTCAAATTTTCTCTCACTAGCTACTTTCTTGCTTGCATTTTGTTCCATTCCATGTCATTCTATTCCCTTCCATCATATTTATATTTTCAAATAAATTGTTCCCAATGATCCAAGGTCCTGGATTTCCTCATGCCAAATTGAGCATCCACATCGTTTACTAGTACAACATACACGATTATAATATGTAAAGAATCCTATGAAAGGGAAGAATATTACTAACAAAAATTTGCAAATCTTCTTTGCAGGGAGAAAATGAATTTGCAATATACAGTTGGTCAGAATCACAAGACAAATATGAACCACTATGTTTACTCCTAGCTCTGGAGAAGATTGCAAGAGGATTATCCATCTATACTGTTCTATTTCATTTTATTGTACTGCATAGTCAAGCAAGCATGTCTTAATCTTAATACTAGTTTTGCATGCAAATTGAACAATAAGAAACCAGAAGGACAAGCAATTCTAATACTATTATCGATATTGATCGTGATTGCTATAATTTAATCTGTATAAGTAATGAAGGTATATTTAAAAAGGAAACAGACTAGAAGAAGCAAATCAAGCAAAAAAAGCAGGGAAAATATTATCCTCACAGCTATTGCCTATTTTCAACTTCTTCCGCTTGACATGTTCATTATCCCCTTTGCTCATGGTCTTATGCTCCCGTATAGGGTGATACTTCATAGATGCCAACTCTTCTTTTGCAGTATCAAGCCTGCGCTTTTCATCTTTCTGGTACAATTTTGTGTAAGTAACAACCCAATGAAGCGTTATATGTGATATGGAAATCAACACTTACATAGAACAGCTCCAACCCAGCAATCTGTTGCTTACAAAGCTTGAGTTCCATCTCAAGCGCGTGTATCCGACATTCAGCGGGGACAGCACTTTGCTCTACCATTTGCTTTTGCCTAATCCGGACAACCTCCGGTTGCCACACATTCAAAGCTACAAAGGCTTGTCTACAAAACAATATCACAAAAACCCTATCAACAGAATACACACCAAAGCTATTCAAGCTAATAACGGCAGTAAAGCCTACAGCAAACCCAGCATAAGGCGAAAAATACAAGTGATACTCTTAGGAATTTGGATATAGGGCCTAACTCAATCTTGTAAAAATCAGTTTGTAAGGTAAGAACTATCCGAGCTTTATTGAAGCTATATTTGCAGTCAATGTGAGATTAATCTACAGTGACACTAATCAAAGAGGCTTAACAGCCATATATAAGCCGCATCCCAAGAATTCAGGTAGGCAATAATGTACCCTCTCGACAAATATCTGCCAAACCAAACCAAGCGGTCTACTAGAACAAGATTAAAATGAGTTATAAACTCTGATATCAGATTTCAATTTAAAACTACATCAAGTAAAATGTTCATATATATATATATATATATATATATATATATATATATATATATATATATATATATACCACAACTTTTGACAGGATCGGAATTATTGCAAATAGAATAATATCAAAATGGAAGTTATGTTTAAAAGTAATATAAAAGTTTTAAGAAGCTTAAACATGAAGAAAACTTACAAATATTGAAAGAGAAAACATGCTGAAAACTCTATTTCATAAAACGATTTTATAGATACTTTTTTCTTACAATTTCCACCTCTGTCCCCATTCTACTAAGATACTTATTTATATACATGAAAACATTCTAAATCTTGTACAATTTACAAAAAAACCTTTACAAGATATACTATTTTGTCCTTGAATCTTTCTTTATGAAATGATACAAATCTTATCTTCTACTTTTTGTCACATCGTTTTTTTATCTTGTCTCCTTCTTGTCATATCTTAGATACGAATCTTATCTTCTTTCCCCCTTTTTGTCACGTCTTCTTTTTGTCATTTTATCTTCTTTTTCTTTTCTTGTCACATCCTGGTTTCTTTTACAAAAAAAAATCTTCAACTTAATCTTATCTTCTACTTTTGCTAGTCGAACATATCAAACACATTATTATAACTGTTTTCTCCCTCTGAGTCAGATTTTGATGTTGGAGACTTTTCTTTAATTATTTGTTCAAAATCCTTCATACTGGTTGCGGCTGCTAGCTCTACCATTAATCTCTGTTTTTCTGCTAGAAATAAAGATTCTTGTGTTAATGTTGAGTTTGATTCTTCTCTTCTTTGTCATAATCTTCTTGTCATTGATCAATATTGTTCTTGGTTATCATTTCTATATTGAATTTTGGCCACTACTTGATCTTGAATTTTCTTGACAAAAGCTTGATATCAACATTTTCATATGCGGGTTCTACCACATAATCCCAAGCTAATATCCAGGTTATAGACTAAATGGCTACAAAAGATATTAATTTGTATCCTGAATCAAATGAAGTTTTTTCTCTCAAATAAGAATAAACCTCACTAATTTGGTTTGGAAATATTGTGGGTAATGGTCCAAAATCATTTGGGAAACTTTAATGAGATCCCTCTCTTGAACCAAATAAACCAGGAGTGAGTTCCTAGATATACTAGTAAGACTTTTGTCCATGCTTCTTTCTAGTCATAATAATTATATGATTGTGGTCTAAAGGTTCTAGAAAAGTTAGTTGTACAGTGTATAAGTTGATTCCATTCTTCTGGAGATAATACTTTTAAAATCTTTAGTTTAAAGAAAAGAATATTCTTTTGGCTGTTTCTGGTGTGATATATTTTGGTATCTACTAATATGAATTCATAAAAAGTTCTAGTTTTTTCTAGATCTATTGGAGGATAATGGAAATATTTTGAAAAGAGATTATTCACTATGGATCTAGTATTGTCATAAATCCAAGATTTTTCCAAAATGATTATAGGAGAGGTTTCTAGTTTGTCTAGATATTCTTTTAAATTTTGTTCTTGGGGTTTTTTGTAAGAAAGTCTTTTGGTCCTACAAGGATATTTTGGTATTGAAAGAGAGTGAATCTATTTGAGGTTTTAATCAAAGGATTTGTTAAGGTACTGGGCATTTGTGGAGGAGTTTTTAATATCTCTGCCAAAGTTGACTGAACCTTAGGCTATGTTTGAGGCCTTAATAATATTGTTGCAGCTTCTTTTTGTGATTCTATATTGACCTTTACTAGGTGGCTTGTTACTCATGTGGATTTTTCCTGTAAAAATTCTCTCGTTAAAAAGTCTGGTAATAAATTGTCTTTGCCTTTTATATGCTCAATGTCGAAATCAAAACAATATAATAGAATTTGCTATCTTGCAAAAATATGTTTAGAAATCAAATTTTGAACATCTTTTGTTAAAACACTTGGTGCAGACATTGCAATCAGTGCATATTAAAATTTTTTTATTAAATAAATCATCTTGAAACTTTTGTAAACATAATATTATTGATAAAAAAAATTTTACAATGGAATATTTTTGTTGAATAAGATGCCAAATACCCAAATGATATCGGACAATCTATTCTTTTGAAGATTCTTGAATTCTTTGTTTTAGAATTCCCCCATATCCTATTTCAGAGACATCTGTTTCTACTATTAAATAGACTTATGGATCTAGAATTTTCAGAAGGGATCTAATAAAAAGAGTACATAATGTCTTATTATTTTCTAAATTTGACTTAAAATCAGGATATTATCAAATCTCAATCAAAGAAGAAGATAAATACAAAACCACCTTTGTAGTACTCTTTGGACATTACGAATGAAATGTAATGCCACAAGGATTAAAAAATGTCCCTAGTGAATTTTAAAATATAATGGATGATATATTTTATCCTTTTATGAAATTTTCAATAGTTTATTTAGATGATATATTAATATTTTCAAAAAACATTACAGAACATATTAACCATTTAGATATATTTATCAAAATAATGAAAGAAAATGGATTAGTAGTATCAACACGAAAAATGAAAATATTTCGAACAAAAGTAAGGTTTTTAGGATATGAAATTTATCAAAATACCATAATACCTGTACAAAGATCATTAGAATTTACATCAAAATTTCCAAATGAATTAAAAAAAAAAAACAACAATTACAAAGATTTTTAGGATGTGTCAATTACATTGCAGACTTTATTCCAAATATTAGGATAGTCTAGTGCACCGTCATTCAAGAGACTTAGAAAGAATCCACCACCATGGGGAAAAGATATGACTCAAGCTATAATTATGGTAAAAGAATTAGTTAAGAAAACTCCTCGCTTAGGAATTTCAGATTCATAAGCCTATTTAATAGTAGAAACAGATGCGTAGGATATGGGGAATTCTAAAACAAAAAATTCGAGAATCTTAAAAAAAAAACAGATTGTCAGATATCATTCGGGTATTTGGCATCCTACTCAACAAAAATATTTCAATGTAAAAAAAGAGATTTTATCAATAGTATTATGTTTACCAAAGTTTCAAGATGATTTATTTAATAAAAAGTTTTTAATTCACACCAATTGCAAAGTTGCACCAAGTGTTTTAATAAAAGATTTTCAAAATTTGATTTCTAAACATATTTTTGCAAGATGACAAACTCTATTATCTTGTTTTGATTTCGAGATTGAGCATATAAAAGGCAAAGACAATTTATTACCAGACTTTTTAACGAGAGAATTTTTACAGGAAAAATCAGCATCAGTGGCAAGCCACTTAGTAAAGATCAATATGGTCCCCTACTGGGATCACAAAAAGAAGCTGCAACAATATTATTAAGGCCACAAACGCCTCAAACACAGCCTAAGGTTCGGTCAACTTTAGCAGAGATATTAAAAACTCCTCCACAAATGTCAATACCTCAACAAATCCTTTGATTAAAATCTCAAATAGATTCACTCCCATTCAATACCAAAATATTCTTGTAGGACCAAAAGACATTCTTACAAATAACAAAAAACCCCAAGAACAAATTTAGAAGAATACCTAGACAAACTAGAAACCTCTTCTATAATCATTTTGGAAAAATCCTGGATTTATGACAATACTAGATTCATAGTGAATAATCTCTTTCCAAAATATTTTCACTATCCTCCAATAGACCTAGAAAAAACTATAATCTTTTATGAATTCATATTAGTATATACCGATTCAGCAGAAATATATCACACCAGAAACAGCCAAAACAATATCTTTTTCTCTAAACTAAAGATTTTAAAAGTATTATCCCCAGAAGAATGGAATCAACCTATACACTGTACAAATAACTTTTCCAAAACTTTTACACCATAATCATATAATTATTATGACTATATAGAAACATGGACAAAAGCCTTACTAATATATCCAGAAACTCACTCCTAATTTATTTGGTTTAAGAGAGGGATCTCATTAAAATTTCCCAAATAGTTTATTAAGTGGTTCTCCAATTTTGGACCATTACCCACAATATTTCCAAATCAAGTTACTGAGATTTATTCTTATTTTAGAGAAAAAACTTCATTTGATTCAGGATACAGATTAATATCTTTTGTAGTCATTCAGTCTGTAACCTGGATATTAACTTGGGATTATGTGGTAGAACCCGCATATGAAAATGTTGATATCAAGTTTTTGTCAAGAAAACTCAAGATCAAGTAGTGGTCAAAATTCAATACAGAAATGATAACCAAGAATATTATTGATCGATGGCAAGAAAATCATAGACAAAGAATAGAAGAATCAAGCTCAGCATTAACACAAGAATCTTTATTTCTAGCAGAAAAACAGAGATTAATGGCAGAGCTAGCAGCCGCAACCAGTATGAAGGATTTTGAACAAATAATTAAAAAAAAGTCTACAACATAAAAAGATGACTCAAAGGGAGAAAGCAGCTACAATAATGTGTTTGATATGTTCAACTAGTAAAAGCAGAAGATAAGATTAAGTTGAAGATTTTTTTTTCTAAAAGAAACCAGGATGTGACAAGAAAAGAGAAAGAAGATAAAATGACAAAAAGAAAAAGAAGATGTGACAAAAAGGAGAAAAAAAGATAAGATTCGTATCCAAGATATGACAAAAAGAATGAGACAAGATAAAAAGACGATGTGACAAAAAGTAGAAGATAAGATTTGTATCATTTCATAAAGAAAGATTCAAGGATAAAATAGTAAATCTTGTAAGGGTTTTTTTGTAAATTGTACATGGTCTAGAATGTTTTCATGTATATAAATAAGTATCTTAGTAGAGAGATGGAAGTTGTAAGGAAAAAAAAAAGTATCTATAAAATCGTTTTATGAAATGGAGTTTTCAGTTTTCAACATGTTTTCTCTCTTCAATATTTGTAAGTTTTCTTCGTGTTTAAGCTTCTTAAAAATTTTATATTACTATTAAACATAGTTTCGTTTTGATATTATTCTATTTGCAATAATTCCGATCCTATATATATAAGCCGCATCCAAAAATTGAGACTTTGATGTCGTTGTAATCTTCCTTGGGTCTTTCAAAGGGAGATTTACTAGGGAGACACAACACCAATGAGACATGAGTCCAACTCACATAAGGGATTGACATCACTCTCAACTCAAAATCTTTATCCTTATATATTGTTCAACTTACTCAATGTGAGACTTACACTCATACTTGGATTACCCAACTCTGTCAAGTGTAAGTCTCTTCACATTGGTACATCTTCATTCATTAGTGGCCCTAACATACACCGTTGTTCATCAGAACAGGACACACTTACCTAACTCACTATTAGGAAGACTTTTCGATACAAGGACCACTCTTCAACTGTTGGTCACCACACAAACTATCTGCTCTAATGTTGGATATTTCAAGGGGGATTTACTAGAAAGAAACAATACCAATAAGACATTAACTAAACCCACATAAAGGATTGACACCACTCTTAACTCAAATCCTTAAGACATTAGATTATGAATCTTCCTTTTTTTTATATATTCAATGTGAGACTTAAACTCCCACTTAAATTACCGAAGAATGTTCCTTTGTTTACATAACAAAAACATAATGGGTGGATTGATTTTCATTTCCTGGGTAACTATTGATTAATAATGCTCTTGCTCTTCTTAAGTTAGTATTGGACCCTGCAGCTATTGACTATTGTGATATTTATCCATTGGAAAGTCACCTAGATTAATTATAGTAGCTCTTAACCTGTCATAGTCGTGGCCCCATTGGAGGCCATAGTTGCGGCAACATTGGAGACCTCCACAATTGTAGCTTGGATGGTGCTTTTGTCATATTTCAACTTAAAGCTATTTAATAACATAAAGGATCACAACGAAACAACAACTGTGACTGTAATTTAACATAGTATTCAACTAGAACACAAAGGAATACAAAAAATATATTTATATTTGGTGTGAGTGTGTGTGAGATGAATGATTAAAAGAGTAGTGTACCTGGCCCTAAGCAAATTGGACAAGTCTTGAGCAGTTTGTGTTGCAGTGGCGGTTTCTTGAGCGATACGTGTCTGAATATCCCTGAGCCTTCTAGAATGTTCCGCAATCTGGCTCTCCTTTCTCAACACGACCCTCCTATGGGCAGCTATCCTCCTCTCTTTGTCCCTCTCAAACCTAACCACCCAAGAATTCATTTCAGAAATAAGTAATAAAAAATTGAACTTTATAACACACAGATAAGAAAATACCACAAAAAGGCAAAGAGGCAGCTAAGGAAAGCTGAAAGCACGGAATAGAATTCGTACCTTAGTTTATATAGGGATTTAGAAGAATTGAAGGAAGAAGGATGGGGTTGGGGATAGTCGGCGGAGAGAAGGTGGTTCCAAAGAAGGTCTTCGGAGGAGAGCCGACGAAGGCGGCGGCATGAGATGGAGACGCAGCAGAGATCCTTGTAGTTGAAACCGCTGCTTTCGATTCCGATATCTAGAATTCGCCGCCATAGTTCGTCGGGGAGAAAGGACATCCTCGCAATTCCAACAAAATGCACAGATGCTGGCGCTGGATTCAGCAAATAATGGTAGCCTATGATATATGCAAAAACATTTATTTATATTTTCAATAAATATTATCCATTAAATTAAATATATGATTTCATTATATTTTAAATCTTCCATTTGTAAATTATTAAAGTCATTTATAATTTGATAAATGCTATTCGTAATAATTATTTTTATTTTTTAACAATATTTTTCCCTAATTTTCTTTATTTATTTTTAATTTTTAATTTTTATAATCATTAAAAAAGGTCAATTATATTTTTTAAGTAGTATGTTTAATATTTTAAAATTAAAAAATTAAGAAAACAAAAGACAAGATCAAAAATATGAAATATTAAAATTTAACTTGGTGAATATAAATTATTCTCCATCCCAAATTATCTATTGTCTAATTAAACTCTTTTATTATTTAGTCAATTCTAGAACAAAATTTCTTGACATCATATATAATCAAACTAAATTTTAGTCAAAACTTTGTTAGTAAATATATTTATAATTCTTCTCAAGTCAACTCAAATTTTAATTTAGCTTGTCATTTATAAGGTACATTTAAATTAGCTAAAAAGCTTGAATATGAAAGAATTTTTGGAATTAGAGGATATTTGGAGGAGAAGAAAGTTCAGGTACTCATCTGTATTGAAAGACTTCCACCATGATTTTAATCTTTTTGCTTCATATTTTTTTCTTTCCATTATTCAAAATAATGAGTAGCTAAATTTTTATTTATTAAAATGAGACGTAATCACTTAAATCTCTTGTATATTTTAATTATATTTACATATAATTCTTTATTTTTCTTTTTTATTGTTGTTTTATTTTTGTATTTATTGATCTTGTGACTTAAACCATAAATTAAATGAGTTTCTAAGAGATTGGAAAATCTGTATGAATTCTTGACCTAAGATAAAACAATTACTAAATGGGTGAAAAATGACTTATTAATAATTTGGATTATTGAATTTAATGCAGGTTTATCTTATTGAATTAATATGGAATTATTATTCAATAGGAAATGCTTAATATATGATCTTAACAACAATAAAAAAGAAAATTTATTTAATAAGCTTAATAGACCAAGGGAATGAGGTGGTGAAGTTTAATCCTAACTATATCTACTTATACATTTATATCCAATTAAGTTTTCAATATCAAAATATTGTTTATTTAGTTTTAGTTTTTCTTTTGAAGGTTAATCATCAAATCTTTTTCTTTCATTTTAATTTTAGCTGCATAAAGTTAATATAAGTCTTAGTATCATCGTGAGCTCGAATGAATTCAATACTCTTACCTATTTTAAAACTACTAATGATAATGGTATGCTTGCTAGAAATTCAATATTATTCATCACATAAAGTCTTCAACTTTGACTTGTCGATGTTATCAAACCATCATAAATTTAATAGGATGTTTTCCTACTCTACTGTCATGTCCAACAATATGGAACTAGAGGTTTTGGTATATGGTCATATGAGGTGATCATCTTCACTCTTCTATTTTAACTAGAGGTTTTTGTATGATCATGTGGGGTGACCCTCTTCACTCTTCTATTTTGGTATTGCTACGTGATGAAGAATTACAACAAGTGATGAGATCACGTATAGAGAAGATAAAATTGAACAAAAGTATATACTTTCAAGAAGAGTAACAATGACAACAACTTTTCTTCATAAAAAATATATCTCCTTTTGTATTAAATAATAATTGATATTTATTTTTTCTTTATTTAGAATCTAAGATTTCTTTTATAACTACGACTTATTTTAGACCTTCATTTAGGCCAACAAGAAAAGCATAATTTTTGCCAAGGAGAAGCACACAAGTGGGCAATAATTTCAATTGAAATCAAACCCAATTTAAAGAAGATTTTTGGTCAATGCATAGAAAAGTCACTTAATGGAAGGTGTGAACCATGCATGGAGCACACCTCCTCTTAGGTCACATGGCTTGATGATTTTGGAGTAAAAAATAGAAGATCACACAACTAAATAAGTTAGAGCCAATAGTAGTGCAAGAAGGACTTTTCACATTGGTTATTTTTTACCTTCTACATCGATTCTTTAACCGATGTAGATACCACTGATATAGAAAGTGTGACACTTTCTACATCAGTTGCAGAACCAATGTAAAAAAAATTGGTATATAACATCAATTCCAAAAGAATCAATGTGGAATACTTCTCAGTCAACCAAAATGGCGGGATATTATATCGATTATAGTAAAAAACCGGTGTAGTATGGGACATACCACATTGATTATGGCCTGAATAGATGTGATATGTCCCATACTACATCGATTTTAGTCATAACCAATAACCAATGTAATATGTGGTCTTTTTTTTTTAAGTTGCATTCGTAATTATTATTTTAAACTTGTAAATTCAAACTTAGGACAAAAACAATTAGGTAATTCATATACAACACAAGACATGTACAGTGTCATTTAGGAAAAGTCCACAAATATTAATAATTATGTCCACAAATTATACTATAAAAACTACACTAATCCACCATTATTCTTAGAACTTAAGAAAAACGTAGTCCATTCTTGTCTAATTTCTTCAATGGTGGCGTAATCCAATTATTCGTCGTCTGCAAAAATCTATAACAAATATACTATAGATATTATATTTGAAATCACATAATACAGTAAATTATTTAAAGTAGTTATTATCTTGTCCCATGAATCTATAATAGGCACATGAGCTATGGTCCACATCCAACGATGACATAGTATTCACACTCATAACTTATATCTCTTCTCATATTTTAGAAAATGTCAAAGCATCTTATATTACATCGATTTTAGTACAACTGCTGTCATATATTGTTGTAAAATATCCTTCATACACTAGCCCAAGATTAGATTCAAATTTGAATTTAAGTTTATCTCTTTTAGTTTCATTTTATTTCAATGCTCATTTGACTTGAATTGAAATTTCAGTTATAAAAGGCTATACATAACCACCTTCTCTCTTGTAAAATCACTTTATGTCATATATGAAAGTTTAAGTTTAAGAGAGAAATACTTGTGTTAGTGATTTATTTTTCTTTGAATCATCTCTTAATTCTAGGGATCAAGTGATGATTTTTCACCATATATTGTGAAAAAAGTCTTCTTCAAGTGGCATGACTCCTCCATAATCTATAAATATTTTATCTTGCTATTTTCTCTTGACTTCCTTCCAATTTTTGTTTGGTTTCTCTTTAATCTCTACACTTTGTCTATTTTCTTGTTTTATTTATTTTGATTTTGTACTCATCTTGTTTCATTACAAACCTTCGTACTTGTTTAAGCAATTAAAATTGTGTCTAGTGGCAAATAATAAAATGATTCTTTGTTTCTTGTTTGTTTACTTATTTCATCATAATCATTCACACATGTTTAAACAATTACACTCGTGTTCAATGAAGAGTGTTGAAATTTTGAACCTTAAATAAAATTAAAAATTATAAAATAAATTACTTCTAATTCAATAACATATTTAAATATTATGTTAGACCTTATCATTTATTAATTAGAGCTTTGGTTAATCCTTAGAATAGAAGAAGCATTTGGTATGACATAAGATTGTAAGCTAGTTTGAGTTTCCATCACTAATCCATCAATTTCACCAGAAAGTTAGTATTTCCATAAAAAAATGTGTTTTTTAGATAAATCCATAGCTATAATTGAAAATTTTGCATCCGTGTTGTTATGTTTTTGCTTGATAATCTAGGATAAACATGTTCAATTAATGATATTGTGTTTCATTTTAATGATTGACATGTTTTATGTTATCAATGAAGTATATGGTGTATGCCTCTTTAATTTATTCCCCTCGATATTTGTAATACAAAATACTTATTTTGACCAAAGAGAAGACATGTTTTTCAATAACATAAGGTTACACCATATAAAATATTACAATGTTACTTATACAGAAAATATTCACCTAATAGTGTTGCACAAGCTCAAAACAATAGAATACTTTCACATGTTAGTCTTGTAAAGGCTAAAAATTGTACAATAGTTACAATCAATATGTGTTTAAAAATTTATCATGCAATAAAAAGGAATAAAATTTAGACCTATTATATATATATATATATATATATATATATATATATATATATATATTGGTGTAATATTAGACAAAACTCTAAAATATTGGGAACTTGTGAACTCAATTTTAGATACTCCAGTTTACAAAGGAAAGTCAAATATAACCAACATTAAGAAAATCAATATATAAAATTATGAGGTTCTTATTTACATATTAATTAATAATGTAATCCAAGTTATATATTATAGCAAATCGGGAATAAATATAGTATTAACATGTACATTGTATAACTTTTCCTCTTCCTAAGGATGATGAATTAGAAACACAAAATTATAGCGCAAGTGGTGAATGAGATGTAAAGTAACTAGACATCTTCTACTTTATTAAGGTCCCATGAGATGCATAATAACCTATTATTAAAAATGTTAGCCTTAAGGGAAAATATGTATTGTGCCATAACCAAAGCAAGTTATATGTGCGAATTTGTGAATCTATATGAGGTTGTTCTAATCATATATCAATCTATGATAAATGGTAACAATAAAAAAATGTGTTCTATTATTATGAGATTGACATATTATTATGAAAAAAAGGTGAAATATATGTATCCACAAACCAATTTCATTTTTGATAATATTAGATAATTTCCTCACAAAAGTCATATGTTTCTATTACTAAGTATTATTCCTTCGACAAAGTATCTAACAATTTCAAAATCTTTATACAACAAAAACGTAGTTCATAAATTTCCTCATTATAGACATTGTGGGTTTAACAAACTCATCATAACTCAAAATAAAAACAATAGTAGAAGACACATTTTGAGAACATCTTAATTCTAGAATATGTAGAACAAAAAAAATCAAAACTCATTTCAAACCTTAACGATGCCTAAATCTATGTCAACTATTCTTAAAAAATATC